TTAACACACAGCCCATTACCCAGGTCATTAAAACACAAAAGACTAATGGGCACACATCAAGGACCTCACCCACACAGGATGTTACGAAACAGCTGACTAATTTGCAAACATTAACTCATCAAGATGTAACAACGCAGTCAACCAACCCGCTCACAGCAACAAAGCCAGCACCCCACACCTCCCCACCAGTATTTATAGAGAGACGGCAGCTCCGATCATGCTTTCCTTGCACAAGCACGAAACCAAAGACACCAGCCTGAAGATGACGAGTGGGACCTCGTAGAAACATCGCCAAGATACTCTCAATCTTACATGGGAAAAGACCCGAATACACCAAAACTTAGTTCTGGCACCCTGGATATAACTCTGGATGATTGTCTTGTTGTGTATGTGGGACAGTGGTGAAATCCAATTTTTTTTAACTACCGGTTCTGTGGACGTGGCTTGGTGGGCAAAATCTCCATTCCCACCCCACTCTGGGGCCAGCCAGAGGTGGTATTTGCCAGTTCTCCGAACTGCTCAAAATTTCCGCTACAGGTTCTCCAGAACCTGTCAGAACCTGCTGGATTTCACCGCTGATGTGGGAGCCCCGAGAAATCTACATCAGTTGATTTTCTTTGTTAGCAAATGATTACTTCAGATGTTATTCTATGAGATGTCATGTTACATGCATCAGGTAAGGACTGATCTGAGAACAAAGCTGATGGGTGAGGGTTCCTAATTAAGAATACAAACCCTACATCCACAGGCAAAAAAGACAGAAAATATATTCTGCTTTAAGAAATTCATTATTTTGCCTTTTTTTCCCCATGTAGGTGTGCTGCAGGTAGAATTAATGCTTACTAAAGATGGTGTGAAAGTTTTAAGTATTGACTGTCATTTTGGTGACCCACAATGCCAGGTAAAGGAGAGGTACATAATTCCAATGAAACACTAAAACAATAAATTAATGTTTTGGACTAGATTATTTTCCGTTGTGTTTTGTTTTCTAATGCTTTGTACATTACGGGTGATAATGCTGCATTAGTATTGTGAGCTAACAAAGGAGATGTTGCTTTAGCTTCTAGATTATACTAGTATATTTTCTTCTATAGAGCCCAAAGGGAATTTCCATTGCTTTTCTACTTTGCCATGTTCCCTGAAAATATCATTCTTTATGTCAGTGCTTACACAGATCCACTAGATAGGCACAAATATAGCATTTGGGAAAAGAAAAAACAACAAAGCTGAATTCTGAAGTTAGAACTACTATAGTACTTGTATTTGATTTTTTACATAATTTTGTAGATAATTCTTCAACTTCTTAAGAGTGATCTTTATGAAGTTATCCAAGCTGTAGTTGCTGGCCAACTCTGCAATTCTATATTGGCTTGGTCGGATAATTGTACTGCCGTGTCAGTTTCCATGGAAAATGGCAGCTATCTGCAAGGTCATAAAAAAAGCATGGAAATCACTGGTAAGTTCGTTATTTTTATGTAGTTTATGTCTCAGTCTTTTCTTCTGATATTTGATGATAGTCATGTTTGCTCAAAGAATAGCATCTTAGAACTCCCTCTGAGATGTAACATTCTTAATTATTTCCTAGGTTTGTCATTTTTCAAGAGTTTCTAAACAGAAACAAATAATTAAATTGAAGATTTTTCATTAGTAGAAAATTTGTCTCCCAGTCATCACAGAGTATGGGAACTATCCATATAACTGCAGTACAATAGTAACTATTTGTAGGAAATATTGTGAGAAAAATAATGATGCCAATTTTCCTTTCAATTTGTTTAGGGCTTCTTCAGGCTAAAGAGTTAGGCCTTGAAATCTTTCATGAAGCTACTGTAATAAAGGAAGGCAAAGTGTTGAGTAATGGAAACAGAATCCTTACAGTAACAGCTGTCAAGCAGGACTTCACATCAGGCCTTGAAGATATTTACAAAGGACTAGCAGTCATTTCTATCCAGGGTGCAATCTACAGAAAAGAAATTAGCCATCAAACTATTGCATTCTTCAGACAGTTTGTGTATGTGAACAATGGAAAATAACATGTACTAAGCCATGACCTATGACTTTTCCTAGGATTTTCTTGCAATCAGCATCTTAAACAAAAATGGGGGCTGTTCTGGGAATGTATTTATTTTTATTTATTTTATTTAAGAAAATGTATATGGCTGCCTACACACTCTCAGTGACTCTGAGTGGCTTACAAGGATAACATAATAAAAAATAATATAAACATAACATAATAAAATAATATAAAAATAAATTTATATCTCAGAACACCTAAAAAACAAAAACTATATCCATGAACATGGTTTATAAAGGTTCTTATCAGTTACATTATGTCATTAGTACATATTAAAGATACAGAAAAACTGTTCAGAGGAATAATATCAATTTAGCTAATTGCCACGGTGTCCAATTTGTGTTTCTTCAGCAAATATTGGAACATGTGTGGCATCTTAACTCCAGACAACATTGAAACTGAGACAGTTTTGGTTTCTTGGTGGATGACATACATAAAAGTCAATGAAGGAATAGGACTATATTGAATCTTTTACCTGCTCTGCAAACTGGAAGAGCAAACTGTGACAAACTGGGAGAGCCAGGATTGCGGTCATTGAGCAAAGTGGTCATGTGGCATCTCACTTAATGACCACTTCACTCAGCAACTGAGATTCCAGGTCCAAATGTGGTCATAAGTGAAGGTCTACCTGTACAGACTTAATACCAGTTCATTTCAAATCATAGCAGGCCAACCATTCTGTTAAAAACCATTATAATATTCAATAAATATACAGTAATTCATTAGATAAGTAATAATTAATAAGCAATTCCAATTAATGAAATATAATAATAATTGAGATTATTTATCACTTATTAATGTATACCATTGAGAGGTCCTTGCTGCTCTCTGAGCTTGTGATGATGTTAACTAGTTGGGTAATGAAATGTCTGTAAGAAAACAACCAAGTTCAGAGAGCAGCAGAAACCTCACAATTCAACCCTGAGCTGTGCTGAACTACAAATATTCTCTTCTATAGATACACCATTGAACAAAAATAATTCGTCAATAGTTTCACGTACAGGAAGTATTAGGTTACTTGTTTTTATGCAAAACTTTTTCACTATTTCTCTGGATGTAATTCGTTTAACAACAACAGCAATCAAAGTGGTGTTTGATATTTACTGCAATGTAGTCTCATGAGTCCTGCAAGTGCCTGCTTTATTAATTACAACTGCATTTATTTCTGATTGAGGTCCCCATCACAAGAAGACAGAATTTCAGATTCCATAGCATGCAGTATCTTGGATCATTCATCTGTGTTATCTGCTGCAAGGGGTACTAAACTAGGTAAGGGAAGGATGAATGGAAGAATTCTCAATGAACTTGGAATTAAAATAAGTTTTTTGTTCAGGGTGAACCAAACAACCCTTGGCAAAAGTTTCCTGGATTGTTTTCACTTAGCTCGGACCAGTTGTGGGTTGCTACCAGTTCGTCCCAGATTAGGCGAACCGGTAGCGGCAATGACAGGAGGCTCCGCCCACCCACCTGGACGCTTCTACGCATGCGCAGAAGTGGTGCATGTGTGAGCACCCACATGCCTACGAGTGAACCGGTAGCGACCGGTTTTCAAACCCGCCCCTGGCTCGGATGTTCTTCTCTAGTTCTTTTCACAAGAGCAATTTTCATTTACACACATATCATCCCGTCTTCATTATTTTTATAAGTAACTTGTCATGATTTTCATGAATCAGTAACAGCAGCAGAGGAGGTTTTCCATTCTCTCATAGGACTGTTTAATAATGAACTGAAATTTTTGGTTATTTGGATAATAAGCCTGAATGTATTTAAACCAAGCAGCCAGTTGGATGAACTCAGTTTTGGCAATGAGTGCACAGTTGGAAGATCTGAAAAACCAGGTAAGGGGCAGATAGTCATGAAGAAAATCTATGTGGTTGTTTAGAACTGAAAATTACATAAGGGCACATAATCAGTCTTACATATTCCAGAACAAGTTCATAATAATCATTTCCATTTTCTTACACACAGCAGAAGGAATGTTTTTTCCAAGATGACCTCCTATGTTACTCATCAGTGTATCATTTAAAAGCAAATATGTTTTCCTTTGGAAAATGTAGTTATATCTAGATATACTTTTAATTAGTAGAATTATCAAGGAATCAAGTTCAAGTAATATGAATCCATTAACATGTACTGTACTTAATTGGGTGCATCTCCATTTATTGTCTATGGAGATTCTCAGCCATCCAGGTCATGGTTGTGTCAAAGATGCTTTTTTCAAGAGGCAACTCGACTTTCTTGTTTTTTCTTTGAAGACGTTTCGCTTCTCATCCAAGAAGCTTCTTCAGCTCTGACTGGGTGGTGGGGAATGGAAGGATTTATACTCCTTGCAGTCAGCTGGTCATTTGCATTCTTTTAGAGCAGGGGTGGCCCATGGGCCGGATGCATCACATGCAGACCACACCCATCCAGCTCCGCAAAGGGAAAAAAGTCACAAAATGTCACGTAACGGCAACATGAGTTTGACACCCATGTTTTAGAGAGTCATTGAGGCCACATGGAGATTTATCTGTGTCTTCAGAGTTACCTGAGTAGTGGAAATGTGTGTGGAGCCTTCTTGGAAGAAGTTGCCTCTTGAAAAAAAGCACCTTAGAGATCTCCACTTATTAATTTACCATATTCATATATGCAACCTTGATAAAGTGCAATGTTATAGAATACTCATAATGAAAACAGGGAGAAATTGCTTCCACCCCTTCTTCCCTCCCTGTTATTCTGTTTATAGTTCTTTTCCCACTAGCTGATATAGTCGGAGCTGGCATAGTTTCTTCTGTAGAACTGCTAACATACTTTGATTGTTCCACCTTCACTTATTGTAGTTATTAAATAGAATATAGAAACAGCTGTTGGATTATAATACCTGGTGCTCAGCTTTCATCTGTCAGCACTTCAACCTGCATTTACTCTAGTGCTGACATAAGAAGGAGAAGAGGGGGCAGCTGGCAAGAGGACGCTTGACATTTCACCTACTTATTTTCCTTGAAGATAATATCCCCTAGGAGATGAGAGGGAGGGGGGACATTCCTGGGAGCTTAGGTAGTAGATATGGGGAGAGTGATTTGGAAGAAGGCCAATGAGACGCAGAGATTTGGGGAATGGAAAGGGAGGGTTTGGGGTCAGGAAGCCAGAGTTGGCTACGCCACGATCGGGGCCAGATTGTCGTGCTTAATAAAATGAAAGATTTCTTCAAACTATCTGTTTGGAAATGCAATTTATTTTATTTGAAGACGATATCGATACCTGACATCATCTTCTGTTAGCAAGACTATTAGCAATTAGCATCACTGTGTATTGGTACCTGCTATAATCTCAAGCAAAAAAGAGGCTGAGTTGTAAATGCATATTTACAATGGGATTTGCCACAAAAAAATGTTTTTATGCTAATAATGTGTCATTAGTTGGAATTGTTTCAGTGAATACAAGTAAGTCCTCAACAACAGTTCATTTAGTGATCAAAGTTACAACAGCATTGAAAAAAGTGGTTTATGACTGTTTTTCAACCTTACGACTGTTGCAATATCCTCATTGTCATGTGATCAAAATTCAGATGCTTGACAAGTGGCTCATATTTAGGACTGTTGCAGTGTCCCAGGGTCATGTGATCATATTTTGCAACCTTCTGACAAGCAAAGTCAGTGTGGAAGCCAGATTAGGGGGTGGGGAGGAGAGAGAGGGAGAGAGCGGGAGAAGGAGAGAGAGAATGTACTTTTAGTTCATAGTTTAAGTATGGACCTATAACCTTATTTGATACCTGTGATAACAGTGGCCATTTTGTTATTGAGAGCAGCTGGATTCTTGGTTACCATGAATGCAGATTTTTTTCCCTGGGTAATTGTATTGATTTCTATACAGCACATATTGCAGCTTATGCCTGTTACACCAAATTATGCAGTACAAAATGATCCCTGTGCATATATGAGAACTTAAGAGAGTGCTCGTCCACTATGTCCTCATCCTCCTACAAGCATGTTGAATTGAAATGGAGAATAGTGATGTTTAAGTTTTCCAAAGCAATGTTATGGTCCATAATGTCTTACACTTTTATGGGTTGCAGGTTGCCCTGGGCATGATGGGATCATTCCTGCCTTCTTTGATTTGAAAGTCTCTGGTTATCGTGATCCAATTCTAGTATCGCATGCTAATAGCATTGGGACAAAACTTAAGGTAAACAGAGGTACATCCATCTTTAAACTGGACGTGATTGCTTGTACATAAGCACGTGACTAAAAAAAAATAAGCTTTTTTAGTCAGATCAGAAGGGAATGGCTTGCTCATAAAGACAAAAATCACTTACTTGTTTATTTTAAAATTCTGCTTATATTTTTCTACACTGATCATGCTGGCAATGTGCAGTCAGTCCACTTTATATAGTTCTCCCTCATAATTTCAATAAACTCTGTTTTGACCCTTTGTCTTTTTTCCTTTCTATTTCCTTTTTCCTGGATTGATGATATAATCTTGCTGGACAAAATATCTTCAAACATTAAGGTTGCACTAAATGCAATGTATGTAAGAGTGTGGAGTTTTAGCTATTTATTGCCCTTTCTCAAAGTTGTGATATGTTTGGTACATTTATATCTATTGCTTTTTGTGACTTTTATTAGATTGCTAGGAAGATAACTGGTCTGATTCTGCAAGACTCATACAATTGATTATATTTTACTGTATTTATTTACTTACAATTGTTTATCATCCTGAATTACTGAAAATCCCAACCCCTTTTGTGAATGAGCAGATTTATTTTATCACGAATTATCCCTTCCAGTGCAGCTTCTATATACTTCCTAATAATAATCAGAGAAGAGAGAAAATGTATACTACTGTATACTCTTCTGCTGTACTGATGGAAGCTGTTGTGACCTAGGCCCCAGTAGTTATTACCAGATACAATCAGTCCTAAACAAACATTTTATTAGAACAGCTGAGAATTACTTCATTCTCATCTTAATCCAAATTAAATCCAAAACAAATGCTTCATAAACTGTTCTTCAGCCTTATCACCAACCTTGACTTCTTTGGCACCCTGCCAAAAGCTTTTCTTGGCAAAAGTTCAGAAGCAAGAGACTCAGACACGAAACAAATGTAGCAAGACAAGAGACAATTGTAGCAATGTTATTTTCCTACAAAGATCCCAAGAGCCGATGCTGCTCTTTTAAATCTTATGGGAGGGGCCAATCATCTCCTGGCCTTAGTCCTGAGTTGTCCTTTTTGCTTTAGCTGCTCTTGCCTTCTGGCAGCTCTTTGCATGCATGCACTAGGAACAGGCTCCTCCTGTTTCTCTGCCTCTCTGCTATCCACCTCTAGAGGCTCCGGAGTCCACGGATCACTCCCAGATGGCTCTGGCCCCATCTCTGCCTCCAATGCAGAGCCCTTGTCTGGGGCTTCCCCTGACTCCAGGACTGGCCCATTGTCCTCTCCAGCCTCCTCACTGTCCAACTCCGCTGCCAGCTCCGCAGGCTGCTGGTGAACCACAACACAAACTTTCTAGTGGCCAAACAATACTGGATGGTTTTCAGCTGAGTTTTTGGATCCATCAAAATACATTGAAGTAATATTTTGTATGAACTATTTTCATTACAATATGTGGCTAATTTGTATGTCTTATTACAGATTGCCCAGTTGTGCAATAAGCATGACATGATTGGTCAGGACTTGGTGGCTATGTGTGTCAATGACCTGCTGGTTCAAGGAGCTGAACCTCTCTTCTTCCATGGCCATTTCGCATTTGGGAAACTGGATGCTGGTGTGGCTCAGCTCACTCAGGCTATATCAGATGGGATAGCTGAAGCTTGTAAACTGGCAGGATGCACCTTCCTTGGTATGAGCACTTTTAAATCAGTTTTTAAAATACTTCCATTCCCTAATCCCTGAGAAAGAACTTCATTTCTGCTGAGCTTGAGACACTGAGACAATGCACTGCCAAAAGGAAAGTCACCTAAACGGTGTCTTTTCCTTGTGGAGTAAGAAAATTCTCGCTCTCATTCAGATAGCTACTGCCCCTCTCCTGCACATTTTCAGTACATGTTATGCACATTTGTCCATTTGCAAACCAGCCAGACAAAACATTCTGAGCTGTTCATACAATGGAGAACTTCCTAGCCACAAAGGCATAATTCTTCTTTTGTTATGTTATGATAAAATGTTTGGCACTATTGCAATCAAACCTGTCAATACTTTTAACCATGGTTACCCACTGCTACGACAACTGAACAAAGAAAAAAAAAAGAGGCATTATTTAGAATGTTTATAGGCAGGCCACAGGAAAAGGATACTACTGCATAGCTTTTGGAGAAGAACTGTTCTGCCCCAGCTATGGACCCCAAAGAACGCAGCACATACAAAGTCTGTACAAACCTTAGTTTACTAAATTAAACAGGTTTTTTTTCAAACAAATTAATTGTTAATTAACTTTCTTAACAGCCTACAAGAATCCAAAGAATAAATAATCTTAATCTTACTATGGTTGGCAGAAAACCCAGAAGCAATTTGCAGAGAACTAAGATCAAGGCACGAAGGAGAGTGAACGAAGTTGTTCCCTGCAAATTGCTTCAGTCGGCGTTCTTCCTTAAATAGGCTAAGGGAGTGGCCAATTAGCCCCAAGCCTTACTCTTGAGGAGACCTCCTCCTGAGGAGCCACTCCTGCCTTTTGGCAGCTCTGCGTGCCCGTGCATCGAGAAGAGGCTCCTCCTCTTCGTCCTCTTCACTTAAGGGAGCTTCTGGAGGTTCTGAAGGCCCTGGCTGAATCCCCGCTTCTGGCACCACGTCTTCTCCAGCCTCATTGTCCGACTCAAGTGCCAGTTGCACAGGCTGCTGATGCAGCACCACACCAGCCTCCTCGCTGTCCGAATCAGCCACCAGCCGCACAGGCCGCGTACGGGCCACAACAAGAACAGATAGTAATTCTACAGTTGTACAATGTAGAACCTAAGAAGAGGGATGATGTAGATGTTCTGGCCAAAAGAAAAATGGCCTGTCCATTGACTCTACAAAGCTCTAGCACCACACATACAATATAATACAGCCAGATACAACAATTCATCTTCAGGTGGGAATGAACTTCTGGTGTAGGGCAAATTTCACATGGGCAGACGTCCTAATTAAGGGCTATTCCAGATAAGAAACATACACACACAAAACACACCATAAATTGTTTCCTCATTCCATGAATAGAGATTAACAAGAATTTAGCTTGCTTTTTTCTTTTACAAAGAAAAAGAAGGATGTTTTGAAACTATGAGGCACTACTAATCTGGTATTCAGCAGGTTCTGACCAGTTTGGAGAACCGGTAGTGGAAATTTTGAGTAGTTCGGAGAACCGGTAAATACCGCTACTGACTTGCCCCACCCCCATCTATTCTCTGCCTCCTAAGTCCCAGCTGATTGGGAGGAAATGGGGATTTTACAGTATCCTTCCCCTGGAGTGGAGTGGGAATGGAGATTTTATATATCCTTCCCCTGCCACACCCACCAAGCCATGCCACTCCCACAGAATCGGTAGTAAAAAAAATTTGAATCTTACCACTGATCTGGTAACCTGCTAGCATTGTACTCAGAGTACATACAACATCTGTCCTACAGAGAGATAAATACACTTAGATTATCAGTTTAAGACTAATGGGGTGGCTAAACTGGACAAAGTTGTGGATCTTACAGATCTTAATATATAATTTGATATACAATTACTGTACCTGTTGCATGCACATGTGTACAGATTTTGGAAGCATTCCTCCAATTTATTCATTTGTGCATGCTTTTGTTGGCCTTTATCAGTATAGTGCATTTTGTTGTTGGTCATATAAAATCAGAAGTCAGGCAACTTTTACTAATCTGGGCTATTTTAAACTGGATTTCAATAGAAAGAAATTGGTTTCAATAGATTTCAATTGGTTTCTAGACTTTCTTGGGATGCACTGTATTTGATTCCTCCCTTTTTCCCAGGAAGAGAAACCAATGAAATGCCTGCCACTTGTGCAGCTGGAGAATACAACCTGGTTGGCTTTGCAGTTGGTGCTGTGGAGCGAGGCATGAAGTTTCCTCGGCAAGGGAACATTGTCAATGAAGATATTGTGATTGGAATAGCTTCTTCAGGGCTTCATCACCAAGGATTTGATCTTGTGAGAAAGATTTTTTTAACATCGTCCCTACACTATTTTTCTCCAATTCCTGGTGGATATGGCAACCATACTTTAGGCATGTAAACATCTGCCACTTTTTTATTCCACACTTTTCTTGGAAAGAAATAATGTTTTGTTATTAGGCATTGTGCATGAATACTGTTATATAGTTTTATTGTATTAATTGCATCTCTTTGTACCTTCTGTTAAATGTTGAGGAACATCTCTAGAACATTTTGAGATTAGAAATTTAATTTAATTTGTTTCCTTAGTAAACAGAAAAGAGTTATCTTCTATTTCTTAAAATTAATTTCCTTGTATTTTAACAGGAGAGCAGTTGCTAACTCCAACCAAAATCTATAGCAGATCTCTCCTTCCTGTCCTCCGTTCAGGAAATGTGAAAGCCTTTATCCACATTGCTGATGGAGGATTGTTGGGAAGTTTTTCCCAGATCCTTCCTGAATGCTTTAGTGTTGTTTTGGGTAAGTAGAAAAGGCTTGGAATGTTTTACCAACTGTAGTTTGGGGCTAAATTTTTAAAAATATTTTCATGTCTAATAAGACATTGAAAAAAATCTGTTAAAGAATGAATCATCTGTTGGACATGTATAATATAATGTATAGTGTAAATAGATTGTATAATGTATAATATATTGTATAATAAACTTGGTGGAATAGAAAAGAAAAAATCTGGAACGTGGAAAATTCATGAAAGAAAGGATGGAAGAGGAAAACCACTTCCCTAGGAAATGAGTTTCAGTGTCTCTTATGCTATCAATTCCAAGATTTTCTACACTGTTCAGAGAGGAGAATAGGAATCTAAGGATATAAGAATAGATCCTTGGGATTCTGGTCATATCAAAAATCAACTGCTTGATTTTAATTTCTGGTCTAGGAATTAACAGGAAAATCCTGTGTAGGAATCCCCAACTTTGAGGGGCTGATAAGCACATTTGGAATTTTGAGAACATATTTTTGGTATTCTTCCAAAATGATTGTGGAAAGGTTACCAATTCACAAAATGGATGCCAAAAGAAGATAGCAATTTGATAAATTGATGCTTTATCAATGGCTATTTATTACTTCCTGTCATCTGGATTTCCTCTGCTTGTCTTTGTCTTTTCTTCTAGTCATATGGTTTAGTTTCAAACATCCAGGTCATGTCCCAAAGGTGCTTTTTCAAGAGGCAACTGAACTTTTGGGCCAGAAAATCCAGTTGCCTCTTGAAAAAGCACCTTGGGGACAACAGAATATAATCTATAATCACACTGCTGTGTCAGAACTGGGTTGTGCTTTACAAATCATCTGCTTTTTAGATACCCATAAGTGGAAGATTCCATCAGTTTTCTCTTGGCTCCAAGAGGAAGGAAATCTCTCAGAAGAGGAGATGGGGCAAATATTCAACTGTGGGATTGGTGCTGTTTTAGTAGTCCAGAGAGAAGCTGCCAAGAAGGTGCTGAAGGATGTCCAGAAACATGAGGATGCATGGGTGATTGGAAAAGTTGTCCACCGAACTGCAGGTTACTTAACTGACTAAGCATGTATAAGAAGAATTAAAATGTGGAAATAATTCTTCTTGGTTTTAAATAATCTGCGTTAAGTTTCTGCAGCTATATCAGAATTTATACTTATGAAAATCCATCAGATTTCAGAAAACAGTTATGACCAATTTAAGAACTAAAACTATTTCAAATTCACATTATGGTTTTTCAAGCAGGTACATATACAGTGCTGAGTTTGTTTTAATGAATACTGTAGATTAACATTTAGCTGCAGTTCAAGGAGAAAGAGAAATATACATTCATATTCATCTCAGAGTTATTCATAGTAATTTCATGCCCTGTTATAATTTTACTTCTATCCATATAGACACAAGAACAAGAATTTCAAGTCTTCCTTTCAGTATGCAGTATTCATTATGAGAAGCATAAATGTGCATTGTCTCCTTGAATGGATTCTCAAAATACACACAGTCTTTCTCCAGTATTATATTATATAAACTAATTAGAAAGTATTGGAGTCAGAATAGACAAATTGATTTTGGTATCTACTCTAAGGTTGTGTAAATTGTGGTCTAGCTTTTATGGATATTTGGTAACTTGTTTTAAGTAACCTGTTGATCTCCTGATCTCTTGGGTTACAATTCCCATACTCTCTAGACATTAACCATTCTAACTAGGGTTGCTTTAGAATTAAACTTCAGAAGATGTTAAAGTTTCCTATCCCTGTCTATGTAATGGCCTTAGTGAGAAAGATGCTGTGTTTGGAAAAAGCCAAATTTAACTGAATTCTGAATATAATGCTTGTAGTTATTATATTTTAAGCATGTGCTTCTTCAGCGTATCCCCGGATAGAAATCAAGAATCTCTCTGAAGTGCTGCTACAAAATAAATGGCCATTTTTGAAGGATGTTTCAAATGTAGACAATCAACCTCATATCATACACAGAAAGCATAAAGTTAAAGTAGCCATTCTTATTTCTGGAACAGGTAATTATACAATTATTTTCTGTGGTTGCTGATATCACATTATATATTTGATGCATTCCATGTCTTATAGTTGAAGTTGCTTGTCTGTACTTTTCATATCTGCTTGAAGCTACATTCTTAAGATTTGTGAAAACTTATCACATTTCTAGTAGTTACGCTTTGGATCAGATTGAAAATTAACTTCCATTACCCCAAATTTCCATTAAACCAGTTGTTCAAATCCATTGAATATCTTTAATAGCAATTTCAGCAATTTTGAGTAACTTGGATAGATCTTCACATTTTAGGATTAAAATTCCTAAAGAAAGCAGGATGGCACTATGGCATGACAGGAAAACTCTTTCAGCCTGGATTTGTATAACTGAACAGAATTTGAAACCTTCAGTTTCTTAGGCTGCCTAGGAACGCAATACTACCTTGCAGTACATCCCAATGAACTCAATTGAGCTCACTTACTCAAAATCCACGAATGGTAAATTTAATCAGTAAGATCAATGGAGTTTTCTCAAAATGGGTAAGTCTGAGATGAAAAATACGCTTCAGTTGATTTCTAAACTTAATAGGCAAACAAGACAGAAAAGAAACAATGTTAAAATAATCATTTGAATTTAACTATGTGCTGTGTTGTTTTTAAACATTTTCAGCTGATAATTTTTTAGTAATAGGCTTCAAACTATTAAATAATCAAGAAACTTTTCACAATAAAATGAAGGAACATATGAACTTATATTTTCTGTCTGAATGTCAAAATAAGCCTTTCTTGTTCTGAGCCCCCAAATATACAATGTGGTAATAATACTATTAGTATTACTATATATAGATATAATTACAATTATTATTGTTGTTGTTGTTATTGGTATTATTGTTGTTGTTATTGGTATTATTGGATATAATTACTATTATATCACATGGCACAGGGCCAAGTTATCTGTGGGATCGCCTTTCCCTAAGGGCCTCTGCCAATCTTATTAGGTGAGATAGGATGGACACATTCCTAGTCCCAATAAAGGAGAATTTTTGTAGCTCAGGATTGAAATGAGAGATCCTTGGTGCTCTCTGATCTTAGTTGTTTTCTTGCAGATGTTTTATTACCCAAACAAGGTAACATCATCAGTGCTACATGATGCTAACACTGATGAATGTAACCTAGTTTGGGTAATGAAATGCCTGTAAGGAAACAACTGAGCTCAGAGGACACCAAGGACTTACATTCCTGGTCCTTTTCATGAAATATTGCCATCTGATGGAAATTAGGAAGCATGGCCTTTCCATGGCAGACCCTGCCCTCTGGAACACTCTGCCCTTGAAATTCTGCAGGCCTCCATCCTCTGAGCCTTCTGTAAAGCTTTGAAGACCTGTTTTTTTCTCCAAGCACTGAGATAAGATCAGATAATTGCCTATTAGAAGATTGACTTGGGGCCAGGCTTTTGCCGTTTTTAATGTTATAATCTGCTCAGTTTGATAGTATTAATATGCTTTTATGTGTTGTTTTAACTTTTGAGTGTGAGCTATCTGGAGTTGGTCATAAGCAGAGTGGTTATATATGTGTTAAATAAATAAATGAATGAATAAACAGTTACTGCATTATTAATGTAGCATTTCTTTTGCTTGTCTCAAGAAAATGTCATTTTTGAGCATTTCAGGATGGAGTTTTGATGCGTTTTGTATGTTTTTCTTTTATTTTGAGGTACAAGCCTTTCAGCACTCCTGGCATATGCAAAAGAGCCTGCAAGTTGCTCTGAGGTAGTCCTAGTAATTGCCAACAGATCTGGGGTGGAAGAACTAAGGAATGCAACCCTAGCTGGGATCCCAACCAGAGTAAGTACATTCTATTGTTTTCACTCACCTAAGAAAACAACCCAACTTTCAGGCTGTAATGTGCAAGGAAGCTTTCTAGCTATCTGATTTACTTAGTCTTATGTTATGGCACCACTCCCCCCCCCTTTTTGAAATATTGCTTTCACTCTGCTTTTGTCATTAATTCATGTGTTACTTATTGTAATGTGCATTCTTAAAAAATTACATTTACTACTTTGGATGCTCCACAGATAAAAAGGCCCCACATAACCCAATTAATTAATGTATATATAGTTCCACATTAAGATATAATATACTATTTATTTGAATACATCCCTAACCTACTAGCAAAACACTCACACTGCCTTCACACACATTCAGTAAAGGTTATTACAGCCTAAGTGTGTCTTGGAGTGGTAGCCAGCTAAGCCAAGAGGCACTAACCTCTTTTAATATTTAGAGACAACTGGATAATCTGTGACCCACTTGGTCATCCTTTCAGGTACATTGCCTTCAACAGTGAGAGACGTTCTCATGTACTGCCTTCACTGGAAAAGTTGGAATAGATTCAGAGATATATCTCCCTTGAAAATAGCTCACGGTCAAACATTAGCATAGGAAATAATGTATGACATTTTGTATTGGTCATAAACAAATACAAAAATATGATAATTTAATATTATATAAATATTTCCAAACTTGCCAAATTTCAGTTCTATAGGAGTCATGTTCCCAGATTTTTGATATATTCTGTAAATTATTCCATTTGTGGTATCTTGATTGAAAAATTATTGCCACATGATGCATTGTTTCACCCAGTTAAAGGTTACAGGAATGTGAGTTTTATTAGTATATAGATAACCCCAACTAGAGAATGCAGTCAATGCAACAACATCTTACTTACCACAAGATTTAAAGTACAGAAATAAATATGAGGGAAATATTACTCAAATTCATGTCCATTGTGCTGCCAGAGACCCCTCCAGAACAGCAAATGACATCCCCAGCTGATAAAATGGAGCATAGTATCTTCTGCATGGTTTATACCAAAGTCCCCCCACCCCAAATCAAATGTCTCCAACTTGTATTTACAATTTTACTTTGTTTTGACCATAAATTTGTCCTTGCGCCAATTGCCAAGGAATTCTGCTCAGGGTATGTCTGTGTCTTTGCAAGGTGCTGTTAGATACTAGTAGAAGATTCATCTATTTAGCTTTGTGTCAGTTTTTCCACATTGGGAGAAGTCCAAGTTAAAATAAATACATAGGAAAAGAAATAAACAAGTGAAGTGAAAAACATGGCACTACACTATACTTCTAAGAATAGAAATGCATTGCAGCCGTGGGGGTGGAAATAACTTTTCCAAGACTGACTTCCATGATTAGTATCAATAAGCATCTTCAAAGTTCAATAAATTGAGAGAATTACTTTCAGTGTTTACTCATAGATGGGTTGTTTAGGAGGTTTTTTTCCCTCTTTAATTTCGTCTTAACTATTGCAGGTAATTGATCATAAATTGTATGGAAGCAGATCAGAATATGAAGGCACAATTGATAGTGTCCTTGAAGAATTCTCTATTGAATTGATTTGTCTATCGGGATTTATAAGAATTTTGTCCAGTAACTTCCTTAGGAAATGGTATGGTAAGCAAGTTAGATGAAATATTGCTGTTAACAGTAATGGATTTATTCTTACTTGTTTGTTTATTTTATAAAGCTGTTGAATCCACACATGCCTCAGGGTAAAATATCTCATCAACAAAAAGCAGTAGATTCATACAAAACAATATAATAAACAAGAAAAACAAAGACAAAGACACGAGGACATAAAGTTTCAGGAAAATTCATTCAGCAGGTTCAGTGCCTGGAGAAAGAGCCAGGTCTTTAGTACTTTTCAAAGGACATGCAGAGCCAACAAAATGAGGAGATGCTGTTCCAAAGGCAAAGGCCAGCAATAGAGAAGGAATTTCTCCTGGATCCTGCAAGATGATATTGCCTAAACAACAGAATCCAGAGTATGCCAACCTTTCAGATCTTGACAGACAAAAAGCATAATTGAAGGTAACCTGGCCCTGAGCCATAAAGAGCTTTATAGGTGAGAATCAGTATCCTGAATTGCACCTAAAAGCTCATTGGTAACCAGTGCAGCTCATGAAGAAGGGGTGGTATATGCATATTGAAATATTCCCATAAATATCCCTATGGCTGTGTTTTGTGCCAGTTGCAGCTTCCAAATGGATATCAAGGGCAGCCCAAGTATAGTGCACTGTAACAATTCAATTGCAAAGTGACTAAGGCATTAAGGATCATGTCCCCAATTGGCACACAAGGTACACCTCTGCAAATGCTCTGCAGATGAACCACTGCTGCTATCTGCTCCGCAAGCAGGAACCAAGAATCTAGGAGGAGCCCCAAATTGCTCACTGAGTCTGTTTAGAACAGTGTAACCCCTTCCAGAAACAAAAATGGAAAGATTCCAGAGCCAGATGATCCAAAAATCCACAGCCACTTGGTTTTGTGAGGGTTCCATTTAAGCCTGTTCTCCATGCAGGTCTCTACTAAAGATGCCACATATTGGTTACAGAACATCAATAGCATCATTTGGGTGGCCCAGGGATGAGATGCACAACTGAGCACCATCAACATACTGATGATATCTCATTCTGTGCTGACAGATGACCTCCCTCATTGATCTCATGAAGAAATTAAATAGGAGTGGATAGAGAATTATATCCTAAGATATCCTGGGCTAGATCTCTCATCATCCCCCACCCCCATCAAACTGACAAGAATTAGCCCCAGAGAAAAAAGGAAAATCACCATAGCATCTTGTCTTGCATTCCCAATCCCTTAATCAATCCAGAAGGATACCATAATTGATGGTATTGAAGGATGCTGAGATATCAAGGAGGACCAGATCGAATATAACACTTCAGCCCCCTTCCTACAGATCATCAAGTGTGATCAGTGCCATCTTTGTACTGAGCCCTGTCTGCAAGGATCCAAATAATCTGCCTTGTCCAGAGCATTTTCAAGCAACAGCCTGAATACCTTCTCAACAGCATTTCCTGTAAAGGAAATGTTGGAGACAGGCAGAAATTATTCAGCATGGTTGTATCTGGTGATGGCTCCTTGAGGAGAGGTTGGCTCACCACTTCCTTAAACAGTACAGGACCATCCCTTCTCTCAAAGATACATTCACTACCTTTTGCCCCAATCACATAGCATCCCATTTCTGCCTCTATATCCAAACCTGCTCCACCATATTATTGCATTCTATAGGGTTTTAGGTGTGTTAGAGTAGGCCAAGTTGCCACTACATTTTACATGACTTTTAAATTAAAATTTAAACATTTAAAAAATAAACAAAGATATTGGGCAGATATCTGCTCTGGAATTTGAATTTGGCATATTTATTGAGATGTGGTGTCGCAGTGCATAGAAAGTATTACAGGCTAACTCTGCCCACAGTCTGGAGTTCAATCCTGACAGGCTCAAGGTTGACTCAGCATTTCATCCTTCAGAAATCAGTAAAATGAAGACCCAGATTGTTGGGGGCAATATGCTAACATTTGTAAACCACTCAGAGAGTGCAGTAAAGCATATAAATCTGACTGCTATTGCTGTTATTCCTCATTACTACTAAGAAGATATACCTATATTTACTGCTGAAACTTTGGCATATATAAGACAAACTTTCTACTAAGCATTAAGTTTTAGATGTATAATCTCAAACAATAAGTTTAATTATCTGTTTGTGTCTTTATGTCCATATCATTTGATAATTCCCAATATGATTATTAATTGTAGGGAAGATGCTGGGAACTTATCCATCAGTTTCACCATTAAGTAAGAGAAGAAGCATCTCTAATCAAGCACATCCATCTACAGACAAAATTGTGGGCTGTATTGTGCATTTTGTACTTGTAAGTGTGTTTTTCTGGATTGGCAATTAACACATTTTTTTGTATTCTATATATTGGTAGGTAACAATTATTATAGTCACAACTAGCATGACTTCTCTGCTGTTTACTGCAACTTCATTAATAAATTAGTAATAGCTATCAAGATTTGAGAAATCTTTTTGTACAAATTGAGACTAAGGAATATTGTTATTCCTTTACCTTTGTGCGAAGGAATCAACTTAAACATTCCAAATTAAGTTATACCTCCTCTGTCCATATTTAATGTTTTTGGTAATTAATTTTGTAGCATCTACCACTGATGCAACTATTTATAATCAAATGTTCTTCAGATATATTGGACTACAACTCCACCTACTCGTTAGTATGGAAGGTAGTATTTTGCTCTGGCTACTTCAATATATTGAAAGAGGAATATTGTCTTGATTTCATGCTTGAGCAAAATTCTACACTATCTAAATAAAATAGCCTTTTGCTGTCCCATTTCTAAATGTTCTGTTAATTCATTGTCTCATATCCTAATGAACATTTCTATTGTTTGTATAATTAAAGTAAGTAAGTTTCAGTGATACCGCTCAGTTTTTAGCTATTTCTCTTTCACGTTAATCTTGGTAGGTAATTTTCCTGATAAGGAATGTTTTCCCTTCTCTTTCTTTCAGGAGGAGACCAGTCCTGAAGCAATAATTGTACAAGAGCCAGCATGTGTAAAGGCAGAAGATACTCAGGAGACCTTATATGCAAAGATCAAAGAAGCAGAGAATCATGTCTTTCCCATGGCTCTGCAATTGGTTGCCAGTGGAATGGTACAGTTAGGAGGAGATGGAAAAACCTACTGGAAAAGAGAAAGACAGGAGCTGATTTGCCAAAAGGAAAGGCAGGATTGTTAATGCTTTTGTAACAGCAATTTCACATAGTGATGAATGACAATGGTTGACGTTCTAAATTACATTTTGGTTTCAGTCTGTCACTTCCTTTTATAGTCACTTTTTCCTTTTTCCTTTGTTTATACAGTTACAGACTTCCTTCCGTAAACCACAGCATTAGGATCAGCAGTGGCTCCCTGGGGTGAGAAAAGGCATGGGCACAATGTGAGTTTCAAATAGTTCCTCTTCCCAAAGGCAAATAGCTGCCTTAGACACTGAGCTTGGGCTTCATTTCTATATATTTGCATTGCAATAACTAAACCATAATTGTCAGGGACTTTCTCACCACTGAGCATCACCAAAAAGGTCAGCCCAGGAGATGAAAGAGTTATAGATGGCCCTGGCATTTGCTGCCACTATTTCCTCAACCAGAATATAGGAGCAAGATTGAAAGAAAGAAAGGTCTTCCCCTTTCTGTTAATTGAAATGGCACAAGGGTAGCCTAAGCTTTGTAATCCATAGTTAATCTGCAGCAATTGAGCCCTGGATTACAAGCTCCTAAATCAAAATGCTTCCCAACTTCAGTCATCTTGGACGGAACGTTTTGATTTAGGAGCTTGTAATCTAGGGCTCAATTGCTGTAGATTAACTACAGATCACAAAGATTAAGCTACCCTTGTGCCATTTCAATTAACAGAAAAGGGAAAGCATTTCTTTCTTTCAATCTTGCTCCTATATTCTTGGCTGAGGAAACAGTGGCAGCAAATGCCAGGGCCGTCTATACTGAAGTAGTATTTACTGCTTATTAAGAATCAAATAGCAAAGAGAAACGTGTAGGTTTTAGACCAGTATTTTTCAAACTTGGCAACTTTTAAGATGTTTGGACTTCAACTTCCACAATTTCTTCCTAAACTCAGGAAGATTTTTCACATGGAGTGATCTGAAATTTCTTCTTTCTTTCCTCAATACCATGTTGCTGATCCTGGATTCCAAAAAACAAAAGTTAACCTCTTTCATTTAACTTTAAGGCAAGAGAGGAGTTCTATCTATTCAGAAATTTAATTGCCTGGCTGTCCTGCTTTTCAGTAGGAGATAGAAGATAAGAGGTAGAAAGGATTAGGTTACAAATCAATTGTGTGTGCATTCTAGTCTAATGCTAGTAGTGGTGTGTGTATATCCTCTGGAATTTGTTTTCCCAGGGTGTCTATCACAATAATGATCTGAAATGCCTTAGAATCCATTGTCTGTATATTATGCTGCCTACTATTGGATAAATGAAGAGACATTTAGGTTATGGCCTATAGTTATCTTTAGGTAGCAAATTAGCTCTTCTGTTGTCTTGGCCTTATATGAATGAGACTGTAGTCTTTCTAGTTTCATAGAGGCTTATGCCACACCACAAATCCTATATAACATTTAGAACAGCTTCACAATCTTTCTAGTAGTGATGTGTGTTGGATGCAAACTGGTTTGGCTGCTAAAGAGCTTGCTGAACAGCACTTTTTAGGCCTGTGTCTCATTGCAAAATGGAGTTCAAATGCTTAATCAAATTAAGATTAGCATAAAAAAGTTTCACAATCACAGCTGACACCAGCCAGAGCATAGAAAAACCTCAAAGAAGTAGTGCAAGAGCAGCAGACATAGGGAGACCAGGCCCATAGAATCACCAAGAGTTGGACATGACTGAATGGATATCCCAAAGGTGCTTTTTCAAAGGCAACTGGACTTTGTTTTTGTTTGAAGACATTGTTTAAAAAAAAACGAAGCCCAGTTGCCTTTTGAAAAAGCACCTTTGGGACAACCATGACCTAGATGACTGAGAATCTCCATGGATAACACCATCATCATCATCATCATCATCATCATCATCATCATCATCATCATCAACATCATCATCATCATCATCAAAAGTTTTAATGGAAATATCTAACAGTTGTGAACTAAGTATATAAATATGAATTAAACCTGTCTTTGTAGTAAAAAATGGTAAACAGCATAGGTAAAGTTGATAACACAAATAAATTTGAGACTTGAAATTCATATTAAATTATTGGATGTAGTGGTCAAGATTTAATTGTTCTGGAGGTTTAAGATTTTACCTTTCTAAGTTTATATTTCATCAGTAAGTTTTGCTCTACAATATCCATAGATACAAAGAAAAAGAAAATTATTACTTTTGCTTAATGTTTATTAAAGAAAATCTCTGGAAAGTATATATACCAAAGAGACTTCTGACCCTTAAAGGGCAACCTATCCATTCTTGAAGTCTCATAGTGTCAAGGTTTTTTGTCCATAGTGTCCCGTTATATTTTGTCACTGACCAATATACATTTAGACTGATACAAACTCAAGTAAACATATATTCACTTAATAGCTCAGTGTTGCATAGATAGAATTTCAGCATTCTAGGCTTAAAAACATTTTACTAATTACTTTGTCACATCGTTTCTATTACTTGTGTTCCTGTATTCATTGCATTGTAGTAAATTGTTCTAAGCACTTTTATTGATGTTTTAGAAACATTCTAGGTTTTAGGCATTTTACAATTTTTTACAGTTAATTTTTTTTCCTAATAGCATAGCTTCTTATGCTCTGTGCCTTTTCTTTTAAGGTGCCTACTGTTTGATTTGCTGGTCAGCGACTGTAATAAAGATTTATATAATACTGGTATGCAATGTGGATCTCAATTACTTCTCTGTAAAGCACTCAGCCTTAGGATGTAAGGCAAGTGTTTCCAAATCATGAAATTTTCAGATGTGTGGACTTTAAGTACTTAGAATTCTCTCTCTGTACTGGCCATGGAGGATTCTAAGAGTGAAGGTCTGTGCATCTGGAATTCATTGATGTCAGAAAACACTGCTCTAAGACAATACATATTAAAAGAAAAAAAAAGAACTCAAATCATCAAATGATTTTCTAGGCATAAGAGACCTGGTGGATGAATCCATCTTGCCCATCAAGAAGATGGCTTCACAGTTTAGCAAGAGTAGCAGACTAACAGAATAACAGAGCTGGAAGGGACCTTGGAGGTCTTCTAATCCAAACTCCTGTTCAGGCAGAAAACCCTATACCAGGGGTCCAACCTTTCGGACCTCAGGGACCACTAAATTTATAATTTTAAATCCCGTGGACCACTAATATGACCTGCCTAATGACTGGGTGGGTGGGTGTGGCTAGGTGGTCATGTGACTGGCTGGGTGTGGCCAACTTGGTGTCACTCACATCAAGGGGCACCTTGCCAGCCTCTACTCACTACTACTCGCCTGCCCGTCCAGGATCTTTAGGGCCCCAACAGGAAGCAGTTGCTGGAGCTAAGCATCCACCACTAGAAAGAGTTGGCAAAACAGTTTTCCAGTTCAGATTGGATCTGACCAAGAAGGAGGCTCAGTAGAAGCACCTGAGGACTAGGAGCATAGGCTTTCCAAGCAGAGGGAAGACCTGCAGGAGTGCAAGGCCAGGTACTGGTGCCTGGAGGCTCAGTGGGCTGAGATGGTCAGCCAGTTCCAGGCCATGATGCAATCCCACTGGCACAAGACGCTCCGGCTCCTTGCCACCAGTGGCACTTCCCTCCAGCCTTCGCCCAAAGCCCCGCACCAGGAGGCTGAAGCAGACCCCAAGTCAGAATTTCTGCCCCCCTCCGACTCACACAAAAAAACCCCGAAGGGGGAGACTCTCTGCAGCAACACAAGCGTTCATTGTACGTATCCATCCCAGGGGCCGTAGTTTGAGGATTCCTGATTTAGTGCAATATAAAAAATGCAAATAATTTTTCTGGGGACCACCAAAATTTTCTCATGGACCACCGGTAGTCCATGGACCACCAGTTGGTGACTGCTGCCCTATACCATTTCAGACAAATGGTTGTCAAATCTCTTCTTAAAAACTTCCAGTGTTGGAGCACCCACAACTTCTGGAGGCAAGCAAAAGGTATATAGTTGAAACCACTTTCCACTATTAATGTATACATTCTGGATTACTGTGGAGTGACACAAGAGACAACAGATGACTATTTGTGTTAAATGGCTTGAAATATGAACTCTGTGATTTATTTCAGGCCCCAAAAAGTTTAATAAATGTTTTTCATCATCAGGCTTCTCTAAACATCATCTTTTGATTTCTCTAAAAATCAACAGTTGTTACACGTTATTTTCAACTACTCTACCAATAGGACTTTTGTTCCCCTACAACAGCGGTTCTCAACCTGGGGGTCGCGACCCCTTTGGGGGTCGAACGGCCATTTCACAGGGGTCACCAAAGCCCTCTCTCGCCCCCACCACGCCTTCACTCACCCTCACCCTCTGCCTCTGTTGGATCGCCGGTCGCTTACCCCGCCCACTCCCAATCTATTGCTGCCTCCTGAGTCCCAGCTGATGGCTAGAGGGAAAAAAAACTGTTTAAATTCTTGCCACGGGGCTTCAAAGGGCCACCCTACAGCTGATCAGTGTTAAAAGAAAACAAATGAATAGACTGGTGCCTGCAAAAATAGAAAAAACAGCCCCTTAAAGCTTCAGCATAGGTTAATTACCATAAGTTGATTTGATCAGCCTCCCGACTCTCAGCTGATTTGCTCTCAGCTGTTTTGCGCAGGGCTCTGTTCTGTTACTAGCTGCAAAGAGTTCCTGGAGCAGATTTTTTTCCCCCTAGCTATGCTGAAAAAGGAAACTGAAAGTAAAGCAGGGTCTTTGCTGCAAATGAGGCAGAGAGAGATTTCTTTTTCTTTTTCCTCACCAAAAAAGGTATGTGCAAAACTGCAAACAATGGGAAATTTAGGGCAAAAGAGGAGGTTCAAGATTTTAAAACACAAAAGAAAAAAAGCTCTATTTAACTAGGGAATTGTAATAATTGAGATACTATTAATTGTATATTGTATTGAAAGCAGAAATGGTTAAGTTGTGGTTTGGAGGAATATATGGGGGAAATTATTTGGTTTATTATTATTGGTAAATATAATTAATTGATTTGTAAAAAATTGGATTGCATGGAAATAATTGGAATATTCATGTTCATATTGATTAATATACAAAAAAGATAGTTATATAAGTAATTGAGTTATATTAAAATGTTGAATTTGTATTAAACAACTGTATTACATAATTACATAATTTATTTATTTTTTATTTATTTTATTTATTTTAAATTTATATACCGCCCTTCTCCCTGAGGACTCAGAGCGGTGTACAGCCAGAATTAAAAAACATAAAATACAAATATTAAAAAACAATTAAAATATATATAAATTTGGCCCAAAATTAAAAATACAAACCAATTAAAACATTTAAAATTTCTTCTTAAGCCAGCCCGGCTTGCTGGAAAAAGTGGGTTTTAAGGGCACGGCGGAAGGCACTAAGGTCTTGGATTCTCCTTATCTCTGGGGGCAACTGATTCCAGAGGGT